GCACCTACCTCTCTCCTCTGGTTCCGTCCTCCGGGCTCCGCCGACGAGTCTGTCTTCTCTCACTGGCCGCCTATGTGGGGAGCAATGCGGCAGAGGTTAAAAGTAACCCGGCCGCTCCGTGTACACAGCGAGAGGGGAGAGCTGTGCTAGAACTCCTGTATTGGAGGTGACGGGGTCAATAAAGAGAACCCGTCAACTCCAATTTCTATCACACAGGGGGGATTGTTAGCTCCTGTGTGATAGCAATAAAGTTAGGTTAAAAAATAAATAAATATTGATAATGACCTGTCCTTGTTCAGGCACTTCCTGTTATAGGGTGACAGCGCTCTGTCCTTGTTCAGACACTTCCTGTTATAGGGTGACAACACTCTGTCCTTGTTCAGACACTTCCTGTTATAGGGGGACAACGCTCTGTCCTTGTTCAGACACTTCCTGTTATGGGGTGACAACGCTCTGTCCTTGTTGAGACACTTCCTGTTATAGGGTGACAGCACTCTGTCCTTCTCCCAAGTGTTCTCCTGCGTTGTCACCCTGTCACACGGGCTTCTGATGGAGACTACAAGTGGCCGTTTCAGCCGCAGTGAATGTTTGGTGAATGTGTGCAAAGAAAAGAAACGTTTTGCACTTTGCACTTCCACCCGGAGCCCAAACCAATAAAACGATGGAACTTCATTGCGGACGGTTTCGGTTAATTATCTCTGAAGGTCAAAAAAAAAAAAACCCCATTCAGAGAGTTCACTGGCGGTGAGCTGAGGACATATTAGAAGTCACATATTTAAAGGGGAACTCCTGGCAAACAGCTAAACACGCAGATGTGGGAGCCGCTTTACCAGCCGGAGGATTTGTATTTTTGTTCATCCACTCCTGAGATATGAACAGCTCTGCCACACAGCACAGCCCTGTCTGGCTTAGAAGGGGACCTGATTTTTTTTTTTTTGCTGCAGCTCACTGACACTCAGAGGTCTTGTCTCTCCCCCAGCCTGTGACGTGACAATAAAAAGAGAAGCAGAAGACCGATGAGCTCATTTCTCTGCTCTCTCCTCCTATCAGGATGTCCCTTGTTAGCGCGTGGACACTGCAACACAACTGATTGGCTCCTTGTGCTGCTTCTTCCCTTTCCAGATACTCGCACAGTTTGCATTTAAAAAAAAAATACATTTCCTGTACGGACGCACCGATACCGAGTACTCGTGAAAATGCCCCGATACTAAACGCCGATACCGAGGACTCCTGAAAATGCCCCGATACTAAGCGCCGATACCGAGTGCTCATGAAAATGCCCCGATACTAAGCGCCGATACCGAGTGCTCATGAAAATGCCCCGATACTAAGCGCCGATACCGAGTGCTCATGAAAATGCCCCGATACTAAGCGCCGATACCGAGTGCTCATGAAAATGCCCCGATACTAAGCGCCGATACCGAGTGCTCATGAAAATGCCCCGATACTAAGCGCCGATACCGAGTGCTCATGAAAATGCCCCGATACTAAGCGCCGATACCGAGTGCTCATGAAAATGCCCCGATACTAAGCGCCGATACCGAGTGCTCATGAAAATGCCCCGATACTAAGCGCCGATACCGAGTGCTCATGAAAATGCCCCGATACTAAGCGCCGATACCGAGTGCTCATGAAAATGCCCCGATACTAAGCGCCGATACCGAGTGCTCATGAAAATGCCCCGATACTAAGCGCCGATACCGAGTGCTCATGAAAATGCCCCGATACTAAGCGCCGATACCGAGTGCTCATGAAAATGCCCCGATACTAAGCGCCGATACCGAGTGCTCATGAAAATGCCCCGATACTAAGCGCCGATACCGAGTGCTCATGAAAATGCCCCGATACTAAGCGCCGATACCGAGTGCTCATGAAAATGCCCCGATACTAAGCGCCGATACCGAGTGCTCATGAAAATGCCCCGATACTAAGCGCCGATACCGAGTGCTCATGAAAATGCCCCGATACTAAGCGCCGATACCGAGTGCTCATGAAAATGCCCCGATACTAAGCGCCGATACCGAGTGCTCATGAAAATGCCCCGATACTAAGCGCCGATACCGAGTGCTCATGAAAATGCCCCGATACTAAGCGCCGATACCGAGTGCTCATGAAAATGCCCCGATACTAAGCGCCGATACCGAGTGCTCATGAAAATGCCCCGATACTAAGCGCCGATACCGAGTGCTCATGAAAATGCCCCGATACTAAGCGCCGATACCGAGTGCTCATGAAAATGCCCCGATACTAAGCGCCGATACCGAGTGCTCATGAAAATGCCCCGATACTAAGCGCCGATACCGAGTGCTCATGAAAATGCCCCGATACTAAGCGCCGATACCGAGTGCTCATGAAAATGCCCCGATACTAAGCGCCGATACCGAGTGCTCATGAAAATGCCCCGATACTAAGCGCCGATACCGAGTGCTCATGAAAATGCCCCGATACTAAGCGCCGATACCGAGTGCTCATGAAAATGCCCCGATACTAAGCGCCGATACCGAGTGCTCATGAAAATGCCCCGATACTAAGCGCCGATACCGAGTGCTCATGAAAATGCCCCGATACTAAGCGCCGATACCGAGTGCTCATGAAAATGCCCCGATACTAAGCGCCGATACCGAGTGCTCATGAAAATGCCCCGATACTAAGCGCCGATACCGAGTGCTCATGAAAATGCCCCGATACTAAGCGCCGATACCGAGTGCTCATGAAAATGCCCCGATACTAAGCGCCGATACCGAGTGCTCATGAAAATGCCCCGATACTAAGCGCCGATACCGAGTGCTCATGAAAATGCCCCGATACTAAGCGCCGATACCGAGTGCTCATGAAAATGCCCCGATACTAAGCGCCGATACCGAGTGCTCATGAAAATGCCCCGATACTAAGCGCCGATACCGAGTGCTCATGAAAATGCCCCGATACTAAGCGCCGATACCGAGTGCTCATGAAAATGCCCCGATACTAAGCGCCGATACCGAGTGCTCATGAAAATGCCCCGATACTAAGCGCCGATACCGAGTGCTCATGAAAATGCCCCGATACTAAGCGCCGATACCGAGTGCTCATGAAAATGCCCCGATACTAAGCGCCGATACCGAGTGCTCATGAAAATGCCCCGATACTAAGCGCCGATACCGAGTGCTCATGAAAATGCCCCGATACTAAGCGCCGATACCGAGTGCTCATGAAAATGCCCCGATACTAAGCGCCGATACCGAGTGCTCATGAAAATGCCCCGATACTAAGCGCCGATACCGAGTGCTCATGAAAATGCCCCGATACTAAGCGCCGATACCGAGTGCTCATGAAAATGCCCCGATACTAAGCGCCGATACCGAGTGCTCATGAAAATGCCCCGATACTAAGCGCCGATACCGAGTGCTCATGAAAATGCCCCGATACTAAGCGCCGATACCGAGTGCTCATGAAAATGCCCCGATACTAAGCGCCGATACCGAGTGCTCATGAAAATGCCCCGATACTAAGCGCCGATACCGAGTGCTCATGAAAATGCCCCGATACTAAGCGCCGATACCGAGTGCTCATGAAAATGCCCCGATACTAAGCGCCGATACCGAGTGCTCATGAAAATGCCCCGATACTAAGCGCCGATACCGAGTGCTCATGAAAATGCCCCGATACTAAGCGCCGATACCGAGTGCTCATGAAAATGCCCCGATACTAAGCGCCGATACCGAGTGCTCATGAAAATGCCCCGATACTAAGCGCCGATACCGAGTGCTCATGAAAATGCCCCGATACTAAGCGCCGATACCGAGTGCTCATGAAAATGCCCCGATACTAAGCGCCGATACCGAGTGCTCATGAAAATGCCCCGATACTAAGCGCCGATACCGAGTGCTCATGAAAATGCCCCGATACTAAGCGCCGATACCGAGTGCTCATGAAAATGCCCCGATACTAAGCGCCGATACCGAGTGCTCATGAAAATGCCCCGATACTAAGCGCCGATACCGAGTGCTCATGAAAATGCCCCGATACTAAGCGCCGATACCGAGTGCTCATGAAAATGCCCCGATACTAAGCGCCGATACCGAGTGCTCATGAAAATGCCCCGATACTAAGCGCCGATACCGAGTGCTCATGAAAATGCCCCGATACTAAGCGCCGATACCGAGTGCTCATGAAAATGCCCCGATACTAAGCGCCGATACCGAGTGCTCATGAAAATGCCCCGATACTAAGCGCCGATACCGAGTGCTCATGAAAATGCCCCGATACTAAGCGCCGATACCGAGTGCTCATGAAAATGCCCCGATACTAAGCGCCGATACCGAGTGCTCATGAAAATGCCCCGATACTAAGCGCCGATACCGAGTGCTCATGAAAATGCCCCGATACTAAGCGCCGATACCGAGTGCTCATGAAAATGCCCCGATACTAAGCGCCGATACCGAGTGCTCATGAAAATGCCCCGATACTAAGCGCCGATACCGAGTGCTCATGAAAATGCCCCGATACTAAGCGCCGATACCGAGTGCTCATGAAAATGCCCCGATACTAAGCGCCGATACCGAGTGCTCATGAAAATGCCCCGATACTAAGCGCCGATACCGAGTGCTCATGAAAATGCCCCGATACTAAGCGCCGATACCGAGTGCTCATGAAAATGCCCCGATACTAAGCGCCGATACCGAGTGCTCATGAAAATGCCCCGATACTAAGCGCCGATACCGAGTGCTCATGAAAATGCCCCGATACTAAGCGCCGATACCGAGTGCTCATGAAAATGCCCCGATACTAAGCGCCGATACCGAGTGCTCATGAAAATGCCCCGATACTAAACGCCGATACCGAGTACTCGTGAAAATGCCCCGATACTAAACGCCGATACCTGCGCTTTAAATGTTTAAACTTAAGCGGCTGCTGAGGTCCCGCGCTTGCTGGAAACCTCGGCACCCTTCCTGTGATCCGAGGCGCCTGTTTACAGCACCGGCCCGCACATCTCCTCCTACCAGGGGAACAACACCGCCAACACCCGCCCGCAAGACCCTCCGGACCCCTGGCGGTGAGACCCCCCACAGGCTCCTGAGACCTCGCACTGCAGCACAGAGTATGCAGCTTCATATTAATTCTGCATTGCTGTATAATGTATTGCTGGGAGTTGTAGTCCTCTATAGCTGGTGGTATTCTGCATTGCTGTATAATGTATGGTTGGGAGTTGTAGTCCTCTGTAGTGGGTGGTATTCTGCATTGCTGTGTAATGTATTGCTGGGAGTTGTAGTCCTCTATAGCTGGCGGTACTCTGCATTGCTGTATAATGTATTACTGGGAGTGGTAGTCCTCTATAGCTAGCGGTACTCTGCATTGCTGTATAATGTATTGCTGGGAGTTGTAGTCCTCTATAGCTGGCGGTACTCTGCATTGCTGTATAATGTATGGCTGGGAGTTGTAGTCCTCTGTAGTGGGTCGTATTCTGCATTGCTGTGTAATGTATTGCTGGGAGTTGTAGTCCTCTATAGCTGGTAGTACTCTGCATTGCTGTATAATGTATGGCTGGGAGTTGTAGTCCTCTATAGCTCGAAGTCAGTGGCAGATTTACAAGGGAGTGCAGAGTGGGACCGGGCCCTGGAGCTCCACCACTGTCCTAAAGTCTGTAATGTTTTAGAAAACATGTCACATGACACTAAAGAAAGGTATCGGTAATCGGTATGGGCGAGTACTGGAGGAAAGGTATCGGTAATCTGTATGGGCGAGTACCCGAGGAAAGGTATCGGTAATTGGTATGGGCGAGTACCCGAGGAAAGGTATCGGTAATCGGTATGGGCGAGTACTCGAGGAAAGGTATCGGTAATTGGTATGGGCGAGTACCCGAGGAAAGGTATCGGTAATCGGTATGGGCGAGTACTCGAGGAAGGTGACTCTACGGAGGGGGATTTATCAACACTGGATCAGACAAAGTTCCGGAGTAGATTTGCTCGGCGACCAATCAGCTTCTCTCTCTCATTTTCAAATCCCAAACTGAGCAAAGTGAAGAGAGATGCTGATTGGTTGCCGGGGGCAACGGCTCCAGTTCTGATACATTCCCCCCTCTATATATGTGTGTTTGCAGAGATCCTTCTACTGAAATAAAGACAAACGGTGACAATTCTTCTCTTTTATTAATACAATTTTGTGGATTTATCGGTAATACAAAGAGAGGCAGGGGAACCG